CGAGTGCAAAGTTTTATGTCCGCAATCTGTCACACCACGATTTCTTGACCAACACGTATGGACTATTCAAGTAGGTGAGAGGTGCACGGTTTGATCCATGGCACACCTTTTTTTTACTAAAACTTTTGTTATAGATGCATTATCAAAAGGAAAACGACCTAATGCTCCTTCAACCATGCTATACATACGACAAATCATGTACGAATTATATCTGATAGAGCAGATCAAACCGTATGTCAGTTGGACTCTAAGTCCAACAACGGCTGGATGTTGCATCGTATCAAATCGGACAAGTCATGCTCGTACATGTAGTAGTTTCGATGCTCCTTTAGTCATGTGGGTAGGAGTGTTGTCACGCACTAGTCTCTTAACTCACGAGGTCTTGGGATCAAGTCTTGATTGCATTCTTTTTATTAAAATTTGAAATCTACGGATTTCAGGAAAAAGACAAAAAACATATGGGCTTCGTTGGATTTCTGGGCACATTCACATCTTACTTATCGATGACGGTTTCCGTGACGATGAGAGAAAATCGTCATATACTGTGACAGATTCTCATAACGTCATCACAAATCTGTCAAGGATTAACAGGTTTCTTCTAGTGCACGAGATTCTCACCTGGTGCCGTGCCCCGATCCTCCCAGGACCCCGAGGCCTCCTTCCTGGACTGGTGGTAAGCCTCGGTCGCGGTCGCGCCTACCGCCATGCGCGAAGGGCTCTCCTCCCTGGTGCTTCTCTCTGCATGGTCCCCCTGGCGTCACCGCAACGCTTGCATCTTCGACAATGCTAGTCCCTCTGCCGTGCTTCTTCTCCAGGCCATCAAGGACGATGCTAGGGTTTGGGCCTTGGCTGGCGCTAAAGACATAGCTAATCTCATGCCACCTTGAACCTCTCCGGGCTGAGGATCCCGTGTTCTGCTCATGTAACCTCTCTCTACGCCTCTGAGCGTAAGTAGTGGGCGGTTATCCCCTTCCTCCTCCTCTCATTGTAATACTCTTGTTCTCCCCTACCTATCAATGGAATGATACACAATCGTTGCGTATTCATGAAAAAAACAAAAAATACAATTAGATCCGTAGACCACCTAGCGACCACTAGAAGCACTGGTTCGAGCCGCCGTCATTAACCCTTCCTCATCTGAGCCAGAAAAACTTCTTGTAGTACACAGTTGCGAAGTCATCTCGCTAAGGCCCAGAGGACCAGCAAACCAAAACAACATCATTTATCGATGAAGAGAAGCTTAGATTGGAAGGATACAACCTGACACCACACGAATGAAGACTTGATCCATACAGAGCCACCAAAGACTAGCACCGAGTGAATCCCAAGAGATCTTCTGGAGAGACACACCTCCTCACGCTCTCTGGCAATGCTAGA